AGAGACAGGAGAGGCATTGAGAGGAAAGGGAGGGAATGACAAAGGGTGGGAGATTGAGAAAGACACAGGATGGAGATTGAGAAGGATACAGGATGGGTGATTGAGAAGGATACAGGGTGGGGGATTGAGAAGGATGCAGGATGGGGAATTGAGAAGGATACAGAATGGGGGATTGAGAAGGATACAGGATGGGGGATTGAGAAAGATACAGGATGGGGCATTGAGAAGGCAATTGAGGTGTCATTCCTTTCATAGTGCTGTCCAGTGTATCCATTTCTCCCCATTCAAAATTATCAGCAAATTAGTGTTGTTACAACGTTTACAGTACATCTCACGAGTTAATAGGATTCAAAGGCATGCACAGGCTTTGTTGAGAATTAAGAACATAATAACTATTACTATCAATAATTGCACACATAGAATCAGACTTACCAGAGTTGAACATGTCACAGAGTTCGAGCAGCAGTTGGTGTTATAGGCTCTGATCAGAATAAGCTCACCCCTACACCTTCAACATTTCAGTTTCAATGCGAATCATTCCCTCACAATATAGATATGGTCACTCCTGACTAACTAAAACATTGTTTTATTGATATCTCCCAAGATTTTATTAAGGCAGAGCAGGCTCAAGAGGTTCAGTGACCTATACATGCTCCTTTTTCTCTTATCTCTTTCCATTCAAACTGTCTTAATGAGAATCTACCCAACAGGTGAAAGGCACAAGTTAAAACAGAAATTTCAGTAAATACTCAGGAGGTCTTTGGTCCTTTTACTTTCTTCTCTAATTTCTTCACATTCAGGTTGTTGCTGTTCTCCATCCTGCTACTCACACCTCTTCAGGGCACTTGTTATCTGTCCCAGTTTCATGCCCTTTGGCCCTGAACCTCCAACTCTTTTGTTAATGAGTCTCTCCTATATTCACACTATCACAGACCTCTCATTCACCCCCACCCCTCACCTGCCAAACCACTGTCATCTATCTCTTGCTGAAAACCCATTCCTCCAGTTCCACACTGTGTTGTCTCCAGCATCTGGGCTTCTTGCTATCTCTGACTTTCCTAACTTTTCCTAGTTCTGATGAAAGGTCATTGACTCGAAACATTAACGTTAACATTAACTCTCTTCACAGATGCGATCAGACTGCTGAGTATTTCCTGCGGTCGTTTCAGATTTCCAACATTCACCTCCACTGGCAGGATACATCTACAGCTACACTCCTGTGCCTGACAAATGTGACCTTCATTAGGAAAGAGATAAACAGACTGCTCAGAGGAATACCCGACAATGCTAAACCCAAGCAGGAATCTGCCACTTGTAATCGTTGGTCATCCCCCTCTGTATGGGGAAATGGGAGCCAAGTGAAGAATTCAGATGGATGGGATGAAGTGATGTGAAAAATTGTTACCAAGAATTTATAAATTGTATCATTTTGATGCAAGTGAGGATGTCCTTTATTTTGATTTTTCTGTTAATTTCCTAGAGAAATATGTGAAGCCACCACGGTCCCACTCTCTCATTAGAGAGAGATGATTGCGGGCAGTGGGGTGGGAGGGGGGTGGTGTGGTGGGGTTTAACCTGCGGGTCACCGTGCCACAAAAAAGGGGCAAGGTTGGGAAGGTAGCCCTTTCAATGTAACTTCAGTCAGTGCAAGAACTAAACCCGCTCTGTTAACATCACACTGCAATGTAAACCAGCTGTTCAACTAATGGAGCTAACCAACCTCCCTGACCCTCTCCATTGAAATAGAAACTTCTGTAAAAGCGTTTCATTTATCATTCATTCTCAGGTCGCAGATGAATGGTGTCAAGGCTTACGTGTGTTTTCCAGACCTTATCGTCCTTGAGAACAGGGTGTGGTCAGGTTTGGGGAGGAACCACTGCAGTCTGTTATGGCCTAAGTTGCCCCCTAATGAGCTGTTAGAGACAGACTCTCAGAATTTTGACCCGGCGACAATGAAAGAACATTCGATGTATTCTGTCCATGTCAGGAGAAACACAAAAACGGTTTCAGAGATAGTAGGAACTGCTGATGATGGAGAATCTGAGATAACAAGGTATAGAGCTGGATGAACACAGCAGGCCAAACAGCATCAGAGGAGCAGGAAAGCTGACGTTTCGGGCCTAGACCCTTCTTCAGAAATGTCCAGGCCGGAAAAGTCAGCTTTCCTGCTC